CATCTGAAATTGCAGAAGCACATATACGTATATATTACTGTATATACATATATGTAATACATATACATGGGTTAGTATCCCTGCAAGTTCAGATGGGTAGGCATTTGTGACGCCTTGTGACAAAAAATGAGTACTGTAATAGTTGCAGTACTGGTTCAACGTTGTTATTTACGCAACCGTGAGTTTACTAAATTACATTAGAAAGCTGACCTTTCATCCCACGCTGTTATGCTCCTGACATTGTGTTTGAGCTAAATAACATGTGAAATTAATGCATAAAAAAATAAAACTTGATTTTTTAATAGAGATATATATAGGATATACCATATGGTAGAAAATAATATCATATCCAAAATAATTAATTATCTCGCATTACTAGCAATTGTATAAATTTCCGTAATTTTATCAAATATTTCTTTATGGACAAAGAATAATGATATCCAGAAAACAGGATAGAACGGTTTATGTACATAAAAATAGTATGTGTAAAAATTTTGACAGACTATATAACGCGTTTTATTGTGTTGACTCTCGTATTGTATTAATGGATTAAAAAACAAGAGATATAGAACTAATATCGATATAAACGAAGCACCATTACTGCGAACGCGCTTTATACTAATGGCTTCGCTAAACTTTTATTCCTCGCGTTTTTGCGGTCCGGTTATTCTACCAGGCGGAAAGTTGAAAAGTCACAAGTTTAATAAGTGTTTCCAAGTAGTCGGACGTAACACGTTTAGTCGGAACAATTACAAATTCCTTCTTAGGAAAATATTTAAATGTCTTGGTCGTTTATAAATTTTGATCTACGCAAGATGCTGTGTATAATTCAATACGTATCGCACGTTTGAATTTCAATAATTCATATTAGGAAACAAAGCGAACGCGAGAAAAAACTAACAAATATTTTTAAAAATATGACTTCTGCAGTGCGTGCTTTTACTTATCAGCGGCTTTGAAAAACATTTTTAGAGCAAATCTAGTACTCATTGTCAGTCAGAACGAAACGTGACGACTGAAAAATTTGCGACGGTGAAGCGGTAGCAATGATGCACTAGGACGTATATACTCGACAACGATTTCGATTAATCGACGCTGCCGATAAAAATAGCGAGTATCTCGAAATGGGTATAGAGACGGGTTATTTCATCGCGATAAATATTACAGCTTGTATCAATGTTCACGCCGGGCTATCTCCCTTTATGCAGGAAGCCATCTGCGAGGAAAATAGGCTCAAAATGGCGTGATAAGCGCAGATGTCATAATCCCGTCTACGTATGCGAAACACGAGTTGTTGTTTCACATTACAGTCAGCACGTTCAAACGCGCAAGGGGTGCTTGTTGTAAACAGAAATTATGATTCTCCAACGAGCTTGAGCAGCGCAGTTATGTTATAATTCTATACGTAAACACGTGTAGTCATGCTTTTTAAAAAGCAACTTTGAGAAAAATATTTCTAAAATTGCATGAAAATTTTACAAACATTGGACACCTTTAACCATAATATATTAGAAGAATTTTTTGTTCCTCTTCCATACATATTTGAAAATTTTATGAATAACGGTGATATTTTCCCTTTTCCGATTTTATCATATTACGAAGAATTTTTTATATCGCAAAAAACGGATTACGTAAATGGCAGAAATAAATTGATTTACTTAAAATGCAAATAATTAAACAGAATAAAAGATCCTTATTGGACGGAATAGTTCTTTTATTCTTGAAACGTCGGCGTGTAAGTGGCAGACTTTTCCCAACACGCGTTACAACTTTTCGTCCTGTCTCGTACCTATACAATTGAAAGTTTCATCTCGAGATACCCAAGTTTCATCACTCTATTCGATTGTCACGCGAAATATATAACGTTCAACACACATGTGATTTTTCCTTTGTAGACTCGTCCTTTTACATCTCGTATTTTCATTATACTTCTAGCGGTACATTTATCGAACGATGAAAGAATGTTTCAGCACCGTCACTATAGTTAAATTTATTCTAACAGTACGTATTTATTAAAATTATAACTATTGCGCACAAACAATTTATAAAATGTTTGAGTAATTACATACATAAACAACT